AAGTCAAAAACACCCAAAACATCACATTCAACAAGGAAATGACTTGAACACATGAATAGCTCAAAGAATAGCATTTATGAACCCTAGATACAAGCTCTAAACATGCATAAACACAAGATTATGCACCAAATCTCTCAAGAACATCAATAAAGTATCAAGAATCATCATAACTAGTATAAAATAGGTTTTGTAATGCATGGGTTACCTTTGTAGTCTAAGAAACACTTCTTTTTACCCTCCTAGACCTCTCCTTGAAGCTCTTCCACCATAAAGTCTTCTCAGCACAACCAAACCACACATAGAAAACTAACACTTAGATAAAGATTAGGTAAAACCAACTAAAAACACTATCTAAGCTAAGATCTTACCCTTCCTAGAGCCTTTGAAGGTGGAAAGGTGGAATCTTGGAGAAATTTCTTGCAAGGTTGATGGAGGATTTGGTTGGCTTGGAGAGTAACCTAGACTCTTTAGAGAGAAGGTAGAGAGTCTAGTGTTTTCTTGCCAAATGTAGGAAATGAAATGTGGTCTTGTTAGAGTAAGGCTTGAAGACCAAGTAAGGATGAAAATTCTAAAATGCCCTCCCTTATTCTAAAAAGGTTAGGAAGACATCAAAAGGCTAGGTACAAGGTATGAAGCTCAAGGTACAACTCTTTGACTAGTTCAATTGACTATAGAATCTAGTCAATTTTGGTCCTCTGACTATTGATTAAGGAATTAGGAAAGGAAATTCACAAGGAAGGTTTAGAATTAATTACATAATTAATTCCATTTAATAATTGGATTTTCAAGACTCTAGGAAGGGTTAGACCCAAAGGTAGCTATGCACCGCTTGGCAGTGAAAAAGGGGTGCCTTCTAGTCAAACAAGCTCAACGATGCTTTCGCCCCGAGCTCATTCCCTCGATTGAAACAGAAGTCAACAAGCTTATAGAGGCTGGCTTCATTCGTGAAGTTAAATATCCAACTTGGATATCCAGCATTGTGCCTGTGCGCAAGAAGAATGGCCAGATCCGCGTATGCGTAGACTTCCGGGATCTTAATTTTGCGTGCCCGAAAGATGACTTCCCACTTCCTATCACAGAGTTGATGTGATAACCCAAAATTTAATTTTACAAATCTGGTTTTAAAAAAATCCAAAATAGCCAATTTTCACTCCATAAAAATTTTTGCAATGAAAACGGTGTTGAATAAATTATTTTGAGCCACTTTAAATTAAATTCAACATCATGACTTGATTTAAAGCCAATATCCTAGATTTTCGGGTACTTTGCATACCAAGTTTTGAACTGAGAAATCTATCTGAGTGAAACCGGGAGAATTCTGAGAAGACTAAACCAAATGTTCATCTAGAAATCATTTTGGGAAAATTCCTTTTTCAACCCCAAACTATTTTAAATAGCAATTCTAGCTTTGGTTCATGGAGCATGGTGGACCACACTACTCCAAATGTTGTCTGATGCAACCTTTTAGCCAATCCTTTTTACACTTTTGCCATCCACCAATCATATGAAATCCTCCTAGGGTTTTGAACCCATATAAAAGGAATAGTATCCTCTCATTTTTCTCCTGATTCCCATCCTTGGCTGCCAAACCTAAGCTTTGCAAAATCAAAGAAGAATTCACAGTAAGTTTTTCAATCTTCCTCAATTCAATCCTAGCCTTCCATTCCCTCCTAGCTTCTATCCTTATTCTCTGAGAACTTAGTAGTAAGTGTGTTGTTGGCTTGTTTGGGATGTTTAGGAGGTGAAGGAGGTTGTAGCTAGCTGAGGAAGAAGGTGAAATCCAAGCTAGAAGAAGAAGAAAGCTTCAAAGGTATAACCCATGGACTCCCAAAGCTATTTTCAAGACTCTATGAAGTCTTTTGTTGATGCAGAAATGAGTATAAATGCTAGATATTTGTAGTGTTTGAGCTATTAAGTGATTTATTGTTGGTTTATTATGTGTTGTTGATGGTTTGGATGAGTTAAAATTTGCCTGAGATGTTTTGCAGATGAGAAGAAGACCTCTGGTGCACAGATAGTGTGCACCAGTAAGTCTAACGGCCCTAGCCAACGGCTCACCAAGGATACCGTTGGCTAGCACGGTGGCAGACCGGCCCTAGGAGAGGGCCGTTGCCTAGAGCTACGTTTTAGGCGGTTTGATGCGGCGGACCTAGTTGAGCCCCGCCTTAGCCCCGTTGAGTTTTCTCTGTGCAGTGGCCGGGCCCTTGTAGCTCAGCTACGTGTCGTTTCGGATGAGGTGTCGCGGGCCCTTGTGGCTCAGTACCTCGGGGCCATCTTGACGCACGTTTTGGCTTTGATTTCTTTGAATTTGGTTAAGTTTTGAGCTATTTGTGCTAGCTTTTAAAAAGGGAATTGTTGCAGAAGTTGATTACAGTGAATAGCAAAGTGAGGCATCAGACTTAAATTATTCATTTGTTGAGTATGTTATCTTTTGGTTGATAAGTAGCAAAGCATGAACACAATGTGTTAAACTTTGATAGAAAAGCATACCTAAAGTGCATACTATGAATTACTAAGTTTATTGCCAAGTTATTATTACCGTGAAATGTGCAAGTTTGCCTATCTTGAAAGTTAATTTGCAGTAAATGATTTCCCTTGAGTATTTTTGAGTTCAAATAGCATGTCAACTAATTGCTAAGTGTTTATAGAGAAGATTAGTCAAATTTTGAATTTCAAGCATGATTTATGAAATTGTTGAGTTTCACAGTGAATGCAAGTTAGAAGCATGTTTTAAAGTAAATGGCATCTTTGAGCATTCCATGTTTTAAAAAGTGTATAAGTGGCCAACGTGAGCCTAAGTATTATTTTCTAAATTCTCATATCCACTTTGGAGAGTCATTATCTTGCCATTTCAAATCGAGTTGAGAAGTTATGTGCATTTTTGCATAAAAAAAGTGTTGCATGAGTGATATCTATCTATATATATCTATTGTGAGGAAAACAGTATTTTTGGAGGACCCGTTTGGACTATGTCCTTTCGGAGTAAAAGAGAAAGCAACGGACATTGCGATCCGATATCATGTAACGCGGCGTATTCCCACGTTACGAGGTTGGAAACTGCCCGCCAGGTTTGGAATCCTGGTCAGGGGGTGTGCACACTGATAGTTCGATACCTGATTCCACAGAGTATGAGTTTTGGAACCACGAGATTGGTTCTGTGGGCGGGATGAGAGATTGGCCGGCTAGACGTCGTGCCCAATGGGTTCATTCACATTTTGGTGAAGTCCTGCCTCGCCCACGAGTAAAGAGAAAGCGAGTCATTGAGACTCAAAGAAAAGAAGAGCAAAGAAAGTCATTTATGACAACAAGAAACCTCCACAAAAAAAGTATTCTTTTTGAAAGAGTGTTATGTGTATCTATACTTACTATAGCATCATCTTATGAGTCATATATCTTGCACGAGATTGCATGAGTAGAAGCACGAGATTGCTTATTATATATCTTGCACGAGATTGCTTATTATATGTCTTGCACTAGATTGCATGATTAGTAGTATGAGTTTGCTTATGATAAATGTCCTGCACGAGATTGCATGATTAGTAGCTCAAGTTGTTCATGAGTTATATGACTTGCACGAGATTGCATGATTAGTATTTGATAGATTGAGCTTGCATTATGAGTTGTATGAGAAAGCATGAAATTGTTGAGTACTTGAGAAAGCCGAGTTTTGTTATAAGAGAGATTGTGAAGAGTTATTTGTTGTAAGCATGCCTATTTATTTTTTAGGTTGCAAGCATCTAGAAGCTAACACCAAAGTATGATTTAAGTGCTTTAAGTCGATTGTTTCAAGTATGTGAAACTTCTGTTTTCCAAAGTATATACTGTATTACTTTACAAGGTTGAGTGGCGTTATACTTAGCTTCGTGCTAACGGATTTTGTTTGCTACTTGTTGTTTGTTAACCCCTTTCAGGTGGGCCCAGTTCGTAGGAATGAGAGCACGAGTTAGACTAGTTTAGCTAGATAGCTTGTAGTCTAAACTCTTATTTGTTTTTATGGGTTGTAGTTGACTATCATTTTTGTTTGGTGCTGGACACCGGGGTTTCATCCCCTAGTTACTTGGTTGTAGTTACTTTTGAGCTTGACTCTTAGATCCATTTTGTAGCCTGTGCAGTCACCTTGGGCGGTGATTGTGGCGGTGACACCTCTCTTAAATCTTTTAGTTGTTTCTTTTCCGCTTCTTGGATAATCTTAATTTGGTTTTAGTTAGCTAAATAAGTTTAAGAAAAGTGGGGTGTTATAGTTAATGATAGATGTCATAACTGGACATGAGATCATGTTATTCATGGATGGGCTCCTCCGGTTACAATCAAATTCGCATGGCGTCGGAAGATGAAGAGTTGACAGCATTCAGAACGCCAAAAGGCATCTACTGTTACAAAATAATGCCCTTCGATTTGAAAAATGCATGTGCTACATACCAAAGGGCTATGCAAGAAATATTTGATGATATGCTTCATAAAATGGTCGAATGCTACGTAGATGACCTGGTTGTGAAGTCGAAATTGCTCACAAATCACTTGGTGCATTTAAGGCAAGTTTTCGACCGCCTACGAAAGTTTCAACTCAAAATAAACCCCTTGAAATGTGATTTCGGGGTTGCTGCTAGAAAGTTCCACGGGTTTACTGTTCGACACAGGGGCATCGAGATCGAACAGGCTAAAATCGACGCTATAATTAAGATGCCTGAGCCAAGAAACCTTCATGAGCTTAAAGCTTACAAGGGAAGTTGACTTACATCCAAAGGTTCATATCAATCCTAGCATGAAGACCTTTTAGTCGGTTGATGAAGAAGGGTATCCCGTTCATATGGGATGAGGCATGCAAGAACGCATTTGAGAGTATCAAGTCATACTTGATGAAGCCGCCTGTGCTAACCGCTCTTGTTCATGGTCGCCCACTAATCCTCTATATCTCCGCCTAAGATAGTTCTGTGGGCGCCTTGCTTGCTCAGGAAAACGACAAGTGGAAAGAGAATGATCTCTACTATCTTAGTAGAATGATGACCCCGAACGAGTTAAAGTACTTCTCAATTGAAAAACTATGTTTGGCACTTGTGTTCGCTATCAAAAAACTTAAGCACTACTTTGAGGCCCATACCATCCAGCTTGTTTCCAAAGCAAACCCGGTGAAGTATGTTATGGCAAAGGTCATGCTCTCCGACCGCCTCGCAAGGTGGTACTTATTGTTTCAACATTTTGAAATCATATATGTGCCACAAAAGTCTGTCAAGGGGCAAGCCTTAGCCGATTTCCTAGTAGATCACCCAATATCAGCTGAATGGGAGTTGTCTGACGATCTACCTGATGAAGATGCGCTTATCATTGAAATCCTACCCTCATGGAAGATGTACTTTGATGGAGTTTCACATAGAGAATGGGCAGGAGCTGGAATTGTCTTTGTCACTCCAGAAGGTGAAGTGTTACCATATTCATTCACCTTGACGGAAACATGTTCAAACAACGTTGCTGAGTACCAAGCATTGATACTTGGGCTCGAGATAGCGACTGACATGAAACAATTGAGGATTAACATTTATGGAGATTCAAAACTGGTCATCAACCAAGTGTTGGGCCTGTATGAAGTGAAAAAGGCTGAGTTAGTCCCATATAACAACTATGCAAAGATACTCATGCAATGGTTAGGGGACGTCACAATTGAACATGTACCAATGAAAGAAAACAAGCAGGCCGACGCCTTAGCCGCATTGGCTTCAACTATTGCTCATCCAGCCGCCCGAGTACAAGTATGTCAAAGGTGGGTAGTTTCGCCAATCTTCAATGAAGACGACTCAATTGATGAAACTGTTGAACTCCCTACTGCCTCAGTTTATGATATAGGTAAGGACGACTGGAGGCAACCCCTGATTGACTAACTCACCGATGGAAAGTTACCTGAAGATCCTCGTAAAAGGGTGGATATAAAGCGTCAAACTCCTCGCCTCATATGCTATAAAGAAACATTGTATCGTCATTCATTTGATGGAGTAGTTCTCCAATGTCTAGGGGATGAGGAAGCTTTACAAGCTATGCAAGAAGCTCACTCTGGAGTTTGCAGTGAACATCAATCCGGCCCCAAGTTACACTTACATATTAAGCGAATGGGCTATTATTGGCCTACAATGGTAAAGGATTGTATAGACTATGCTCGAATGTGTCAAGCCTGCCAGTTTCATGCAAACTTTATCCATCAGCCACCGGAACCTCTACACCCAACAGTTGCATCTTGGCCATTTGACACTTGGGAACTTGATGTGGTTGGCCCAATTACACCTAAGTCAATTACAGGGCATGTATACATATTAGCCGCCACTGATTACTTTTCAAAGTGGGCCGAAGCCGTGGCGTTGAAGGAGGTGAAGAAAGAAAATGTTGCACACTTTCTCTGAGTCCAAATCATCCATCGATTTGGTATCCCACGATATATCCTAACAGATAATGGGAAACATTTTGACAACAAGTTGATGGACAATATCTGCAAGCTTTTTGACTTTAAGCAACGAAACTCATCAGCTTACTATGCAACAACAAATGGGCTTGCCGAAGCATTTAATAAGACCCTATGCCATTTGTTGAAGAAAGTGGTCTCGAAATTGAAAGAGACTATCATGACAGAATGGAAGAAGCATTGTGGGCGTATAGAACCATATACCGCACACCTACTCAAAGTACCCCATACTCTTTGGTGTATGGTGTAGAAGCGGTCTTGCCATACAAGATGGTTTTATTGATGAAGAAAATGCTAAGTTACGCTTGGCTGAGTTAGAAGCCTTGGATGAAAAACGTTTGCAAGCGCAACAAAGCTTGGAGTGCTATCAAGCTCGCATGTCTAGAGCTTTTAACAAAAGGGTAAGGGCCCGTTCCTTTCAAATTGGGGACAAAGTCCTAGCTGTTCGTAGGCCCATCATTGTCACGAGAAAAACTGGCCACAAGTTCACTTCAAGGTGGGATGGTCTCTACGTGATTCTAGAAGTTTACACCGGTGGGGCGTACAAGCTGATTGGTGAAGATGGGTTGAAGATCAGTCCAATTAATGGAAGGTTGCTAAAGCTTTACCACCCTTAAACTTGGGGTGTCAACTCAAGTCATGAAAATATGGTGGATGACTCATTCATAAAAAATGCAGCATGTGGTTAAACTGCTAATGCATCTCACTTTGTCTATGGGTGGCCCAAATCATAGACGCTCCTGGCCCGCACGAGTTTAAATTGTGAACGGATCTACTAAAAAAATCATTTGAACTACGTTTGACTTGATCTCCTTCATAGGAGTACATAGGCATGCAACTTAGAAATCAAATTATCTAAGTTCAGTCATAACAAAACAAATCCAATTCATGTTGCAAGAGTGATGTAGAAGGACAATCATTCAACAGGTCAAAGCAAAGATGTACGAGTGATTGCTAAAAGAAAACAAGCACAAAAATGAGAAGCTTTCAATTATCAAGAGTTGGGAAAATGAACCACAAAAAAGTCTTGCAACCATAAAGAGAAATTAAAGGAAAAGTACATAAGTTGATAAAAAGCTTAAAGTTAAGCATGTTATCTTTACAGGCTTCTAAGCATCCCTTCGCCTTGGTCAGATTCTCTTCATAATCTGGCGTGAACACAATCAACTCTTGAATGCGAGAGACTTCTGCCTTGACATTTGAAACTACAGTCTCAGACATGACTGAATCTTCGATAGCCTCAGCAATATATCACCATCACATGTATTTTGGTGGGTAAGCTGATAGGGACAAACCCTTTATGAAATTTTAAAGGGAAGAAGCTAAAAGATACTCCTTGGTACGAGTTGAAACTGCCTCATGTCTTTAAAAGATACTCCCTGACACGAGTCGAAACTGTCTCATATCTTTTCAAGATACTCTCTAGCACGAGTCGAAACTGCCTCATATCTTTTCAAGATACTCTTTAGCACGAGTCGAAACTGCGTCATATATTTTCAAGATACTCCCTAACATGTGCCAAAACCGCCCCATATCTTTTCAAGATTCCCTAGCACGAGTCGAAATTGCCTCATATCTTTCAAGACTCCTTTGATGCATATTATATATACTAGTATTTCTTATGTGCGATGCGCAAAAAATAGGTGCCCAATATTAATATTTTATATTAAAATTTTAAATTTATTTAGATTTTAGATATTTAAATTATTGTAAATAATAATAATAATAATAATAATAATAATAATAATAATAATAATAATAATAATAATAATAATAATATGGTGGATGCATGTGCATGGTAGTAATAGTGGAAAAGATAACGGAAGTTATAACAGTAGGGGTATATTTGTCCAAAATATTATATAGTACAACATTTATAGCATAATGTATCATAAAAATTAACGGAAAAAATGGACATAAATGAAGGGTATAACCTTCATCCACACTTATTATGTTTATATATATATATATATATATATATATATATATATATATATATATATATATATATATATATATATATATATATATATATATATAATAAGGCTCATATGCGGCAATGGCTTTAGGTGCGGCGGTGCGGCCATATCAGCGTCGTCCATTCTACTTAATCTAACGGTATCGGCTAATTTCTGAAGATTTAAAGATTTAAGCGCGTCCTGGTAAGTGGGGGGTGTTATGGTAATTGTAGTGGTTATTTATATCGGTCGCTTTTCAGTATACACCAACAGTGTTAACAAAAGACACCAATAGTGTTAGGAAAAAGCACCACAATGAAATGCACAAATACACCAAAAAACACACAACACACCCAAAAAATATACCATATAACTCACCACCCCAATGGTGTATTCTGAACACTGTTGATGCTTTTAGTCATACCTAGTGGTGCGTTCTGGTGATGCATATCTAATTTGTGCATGTTTTTTTGGTGTGCATTTTCTAACATGGATGGTGTATATTTGTATAACTATTGGTGCGGTCGCACTGACCGCTCAGGAAGGCACCAACACGTATTCTCAAATACACCACAATAAGGTTAATAATGCACCAATAACGAATATAAAACACACAACACTATGATTTGATATATTCTGGTGTCCAATAACGACTTTAACCTTGCAGTTCGCGTAGTGTTAGAACACGCGCGAAAATATCAGAAAAGCCTTGATGAATGTGATTCGTTGGATTTATCTAATCTAATGACCTACAATTAACCGCACTGCCGCACCTAAATGCACTGCCGCACTTGAACCTTCCTATATATATATATATATATATATATATATATATATATATATATATATATATATATATATATATATATATATATATATATATATATATATATATATATATATATGCAAACATTAATTGTGCATGTGTATATATTATTTATATATTATATGTATATATATACACACAATACATACAATCAAGCACATGAATTATGTGTTATATATATACCCACGCATTGCATGCAAATGGTGGTGCAAAACAAAAACATCAAATATATATACATGTGGACCAGGCATATATTATATGTATATATATACATATGCGCAAACAAAATGCATGTGTATATATATTACGGATTATATATAAGTTAAACATATGGATTATGCATAGTGGGCCGCGTTTATATATTATATGTATATATACATATATGTAGTTCACACAAACAAAGCGAATTAGGGATGATCAAGGTTCCTGGATCAAAGGGTTTGCGTATGCTGTTCGGGCTTGTTCGAATGAAGCTGTCGAAGCCTGGGCATTGTTGAAAGGTATACAGCTAGCTACCTCCCTCAGGTTGAAGAATGTCTGCTTTGAAAGTGATTCTATGAACATCGTGAAGGCCGTGAATCAGAATGGGATGGTTGACAGTGTTGTAAGCAATATAACCCATGCATACAAGCATGAATTGAGCAACATCTCAAACTGGGTGGTATCTTATGTGCCAAGGGAAAAGAACAGTGTTGCAAACCATTTGGCCAAATCAGCTAGTGGCACCACAGGTTTAAGAGTCTTAGAAATCGTCCCGGGGATGTTTGACCAGATCCTCGAAGAAGACAGATTCGGTATTCTGATTTGGCGTCAACTTGATAGCTCGCTTCTGTAACCTGGGTATTCCCCTTCCATATATTCCAAAAAAATTAAAATGAAACAAAATAAAATAAAAACGAAGCGAACTAGTGCATTGCATATTATATTATTACTCCGTATCAAGGCTATGTTTGGCAAACCTAGCTGAAAAGGTAACTGAAAGCTTAAAAAGAGTTGAAAGCTTAAAAGGAGCTGAAAGCTTAAAAAGAGCTGAAAGCTTAAACAGAAAGCTAGGAGCTGAAAATTGAAGAGCTGTTAAGCTAGCTGTAATGTTTGAAAGTGTTTGGTAAAATTAGTTTTTTGATAAGCTGATAAATATAAAAAGACAAAAAAAAAAAAAAAGATATCTTCATAAAATTTAAATTATTTTGTTTACATATTAAAATTTTACATTTTGTCTTTAAAAAAATTAACATTTTCAAATAAAATTATTAGCATAATCATGATCTAAAAAATTTAACATTTTGAAATTAAGTAGCAATAATGTTGCGAATCTCCTTCATCTCATAATAATAATAATAATAATAATAATAATAATAATAATAATAATAATAATAATAATAATAATAATAATAATAATAATAATAATAATAATTGCGATAACAATTACGAATAAAGGAGAAAAGAAAAAATAATAATAATAATAATAATAATAATAATAATTGCGATAACAATTACGAATAAAGGAGAAAAGAAAAAAAATTTAATTAGAAATGGTAAAATTAAATATGTCATTTCTTTAAAATAATAAGTACAATGATGAAAATAAAGTTAGGAAGCTCTTAGCTTATTTTGAAACACTACCTAAAATAGAGTTCTAAAATAAGCCTTTATTTTAAGTTACGAACTTATTTTAGAAACACTACCAAACAGAGCTTATAGCTTATTAATTGTTTAAAATAAGCTATAAACTCCTAAATAATCTCGGACAAACAAAGCCTATATACATATATGTAGTATGATATGCATATGCAAAGGGACACGCGAAAGCTCAGTAACCATACATATGTGTCTGTGTTCACACGCAACATAATAAAGAAAAGGAATAAGTCTCAAATAAGCCATTAAACTGCACACGATAATGTAATCAGGCCACTGAACCTAAAAAATCAATAATTAGGTCCCTAAACTAATCAAATTCATGCAATTCTTTCAATTTGTAAGTTTCCAACAGGTCATCTTAAATTAAAATATTTTTAAAAAAATAAAATAAAAATAATTATTTAAAATTAAATTTTAAAAAAAAAACAAACAAACAAACAAAACTTCCGATCGGAGACGTCTCCGTCCAGACGAAGCTTCGTCTCCATGGACGGAGACGAAGAGTTTCCTCGTCTC